GACAGAGACAGGAGAATCCCTGGAAGCTTCCAGAAGCCTTGGAGGATGCAGTAACAAACTCAAGGAGTCCCTGCCTCAACGAAGATAGAAATCAAACACAGTGCTCCAGGCTGTCCTCTGAACTCTGAACTCTGAACTCTGACCTCCACACACGTGCTACAACACATTTCAATCCACACCCCCCATAGGCAGATGGTCTGCGCAGGCGCACACATGTAGAATTTTTTTTTAATGTAAAATAATAAAAAAATAGAAAGAAGAGGCATCAAGGAAAAGCACCCCAGAGCGTTCTGTCATCTGTGGAGACGGGAGGGCAGCTGGAGGAGACACAGTTCAAGATGAGGAATTTAAGGCGGAAGGTATCCTAGTGTGCTGGTGACTAGCCCCATAGCAATCATCACAGGACCAGGACTCAGCTTAAGCAGTAGACTCAGGAAGTCCCAGAGCACCGTGAGTTAACACGGTGGGGCCTTGTCTAAAACCAAACAAACACAAGGCTTTCCTTCCGACTGGCTCATAATACTCCTAGTAGGTCAGGTTTCTAAACACAAAGTTGAAGTGGTAAAGTTTCTCTGAGGTCATAATGAGTGAGACCGTTTGCATTTGAAAGAAAGCATCTCGAAAAACCAAAAAAAAAAAAAAAAGAAAGAAAAGAAAAAAAGAAAAGAAAAAGAAAGAAAGAAAGAACGAAAAGAAGAAAGAAAGCAGAGCTGACAGGCAGTTAAGAGGAGAGAGAGATACGTAAACCCACAAATCTCCCTGGCAGATAACTCACTTCCTTTAACAACTGATAAGACAGATAGAGAAAATCAATAGGGATCAATAAGGGTAAGGAATATTTTAGCCACGTGATCAGCAAATTGACTCTCATGGACATCTATAGAGCCCTCGCTTGCCAGGAATGAGAGCATAGATGTTTCCCAAGTGCGCACAGAGCGTCAGGTGAAACACACAGCAAGTCTCAGCAGAGTTCAGAGTAGAAAAGTCAAATATATGTACGGACGAATAGCAGATTTAGTCAGAGTTAAGGAACGTTATAAGATAATGAACATCAAAAATAAATCAAGGGCCCAGTGAGACGGCTGGGGAGAGAAAGTACAGGAGCCTGGTACGGGGCCTGAGGAGCTCAGACCCCAAAGCCCACAGAGTAGGAGAGACCCAACTTCCATAAGTTTTTCCCTGCTCTCCCCAAATGCACACTGTGGCAAGCACACACCCTCCCCAGAACAAAAATAAATATATTTTTAAAAGATTTTTTTATGTGCCTTGGTATTTTGCCTGGAACTGGAGTTGTAGTCAGTTGCAGTGAGCTGCCATGAATTGAGCCCAGGTCCTCTGGAAGAGCAGCCAGTACTCTTAACTGCCACTTCTCCAGGCCCCAGATATTTCTTTTTAAACAAGCAAATTATCAAAGAACTAAACAGAACAGAACACTAGTGAAATAACTAAAAATTCTTTGTAGAGTCAGGGGAGAGGCCCACACTTGTAATCCCAGCACCGGGGAGGCAGAGGCAGGGGGAATCTCTGTGAGTTCAAAGCCAGCCTACAGAGTGAGTTTCAGGGCAGCCAGAGCTAGACAGAGAAACTCTGTCTCTAAAGAACAAAGCAAACAAAAAAAAAAAATTCTCTGTGAAAAGTTTGCACTGAACGACACCAAAAGTACAGCATACTAACATCTTTAAGGGAATGGTTAAGTGCACTGGCAATTCTAGCACTCAGGAGGCAGAGGCATGGAGATCATGAGTTCAAGGCTGGCCTGGGCTACATAGTTGGCTCCAAAATATGAAAAAATTCTTATGGGGACTGAGGATAATGGGGTGGAGCTCAGGGGTAGAGAGCAAGCATGGAAAAGGGTCTGGATTTGACTGCCAGTGGCACAAACACACATCTTAGAGGGTACTCAGAGCCACTTAGCTGGTAGTCATAGACTTAAATGTTCATGTTAGAAAAGATGAAGGGGTCAGGCATGGTGGTGCACACCTTTGATCCCAGCACTCAGGAGGCAGAGGCAGGAGGATCTCTGTGAGTTCAAGGCCAGCCTGGTCTACAGAGTGAGTTCCAGGACAGCCAGGGCTATACAGAGAAACCCTGTCTTGAAAACCACAAGCAGAAAAAGGAAGGAAGGTAGGACAGAAGGAAAGAAGGCAGGAAGGAAGCAAAGAAAAGATGAAGGGTAAGACTGGTAAGTTAAAGGCACTTCCTGCCAAGTCTAAAGACCTGGGTTCAATCCCAACGTCCCACACTGTGGAAATAGACAACGAACTCTTACAGATTGTCCTGTGACTTACAGACACACACACGCACACACTAAAGAAATTAATGAAAATTTAAAGAAACCATAAAGAACAGAAAAGTATATTATATAAAGAAAATGAAAGGAAGAACAGGCGGAAGCCTCCCCTGGAGAAGGCAGGGATGACCCAGTCCCACCCCTCATCATCCTGGAGGCCTCAGGCAGTAGCCAAAGGATAAATAAAGGTAGGAAGGTTGGAAGGGGGAGATGAAACTTCCATCACTCACTGATGGACATGGTGGGGTTCATAGAAGGTTCAAAGGAATTCACAGAGGAATTCACTAACCCATCAGAGTTAGTGAGGGAATTCTGCTGGCCACTCTATGTAATACCAATGTGTATTTTTCTATATACTAGGAATAAACTATTAGAAAATGAAGATGGCATCTGTCCCTTACATCCTTACCAAGAGGACTGGTGTCCTATCAACTAGCAGCACATACTAGGCAAACAGCAGATGACTCCTGACGGTACCATTACCCTTGCTAATGCCCTTCTTCTTTACCCAGGTCCAGTTCACACTGGCAGACTCCTCCCCCCACCCCTACTTTTTTCCAGACAGGGTTTCTCTGTATAGTTCTGGCTATCCTGGAACTTGCTCTGTAGACTAGGATGGCCTTGAACTCACAGAGATCTGCCTGCCTCTGCCTCCTGAGTGCTGGGATTGTAAGTGTGTGCCACCACTCGAGGCCACATTGGTGGATTCCTACCTCAAAGGCCTAGTGAAGTTCTGTGGATCTGTCTCTTTCCACACCTCCTTTCTGGTCCTAAAGCCCTAAAGCTGGCTGCCCTGTGACTCTGGATGAAGTTGGATCTCTTTGCAACACTCAGGAAGTCAGTCCAAATCCTAGAAGATGCTACACACAGACCAGAAAGATGACCTAGGCAAAAGTGAGTCTTCTCTACTCAAAAAAAAAAAAAAAAATCAGCTAGAAGGATATTGTTCAAGTGGGAAAATGCCCAGGAGATGTTATAGCATGAAAAAAAAAAAAAATCTGGGCTGGAGAGATGGCTCAGCAGATAAGAACACTGAGCACTGGCTGCTCTTCCAGAGGACCTGGGTTTGATTCTCAGCACCCACATGGCACTCTGTATCTTTAGTTCTATAGAATCTGGCACCCTCTTCTAGCTTCCTTCGACACCAGGTACACTGTGGATCACAGACATAGATGTAGGTAAAACACTCACGTATATATTAAAATCAAATAAATCTTTTTTTTTCTTAAAATTGTGCAATTCTAAAGTTTTTAAAGTACAATTGGACAGTAAAGCTCAAGCTTGTAATTCCAGCACTCTGGAAGTGGAGACAAGAGGGTTAGGAGTTCAAGGTCAGCCTGGGCAACAGGTGTCAAAACAAAAAAGCCTCAAAATAAAAGCAGCGTAAGAGCTGAGGCTACTGCTCAGTGGTACGGTACTTCCTTCTTGCCTAGTGTGTACAAGACCTTGGATCTTATTCCCAGAAGGGAGAGAAATGGAGAGAGGGGAGGAGGGAGAGATTGGTTGAAAGAAGGAGATTGATTTTCACATGTAGCAGCTATCACCAGCATCTCTCACAGCGTGGAGTTGCTGAGAAGGAAGAGAGAATGTGGGGGAGTCTGGGGTGGCATACGCTGCGACAGCTGGTGGGAAGTCCCCGGGGAGGAGAAACTGAGGGCCCTTTGAGAACTGTCCTGTTCTTAGAACTGTCAATGCTGCCCCCAGGGAAGTGTTCCTTGGTCTCGTTGTCACCCACCCCACCCTCAGTGAACATAGCCTAATTCTGATCGTGCTCTGGGTGGGATTTTGTGGCCAGATCTCACAAGTACACAAGGAAAACTGGCAAGCACCTTCAACCTATGTACTTGGCTACCCCACAGGCCAGGTCTGGAGCCAGGAGCCTGGTGGCTATGGCTGACAGTGGGGCCAAATCCTTCACTTTCTCTACACCAAGGGTACATTACTCACAGACTGTAAGCAACACAATGCACAGGGAGCGCCCCTTGTCCAGGAAGCCAGGAGGCACAGTGTCTTTAGGCTCTTCCTCTGTAACTGTGAGAACTGGGGGGAGGGGAGGAATACATGTGACACACGCATGCAGTCCCATGTGGAATGCTACTGTGACTGGAGGGTAAATGAAGAAGGGAGTGGGTGGACTAGCGAAAACCCAAGGGTGTGGCACAGCGCCTGGCCCTTTCCTCTTTTCGTGACTTTTGCAGTTTCTGCTTCAATGTCGCTTGTGCAATAGAAATAGGAAGAGGCTTGTATGCTAGGTCAGGGGATTATCTGCTCAGATGAAGGAAGTTTCTTCATCCTTGCCAGCGTTCGCTTGGCTGTCTCATGTTCTAATATCTAATTTGGTTGGGTGTTGGTGGTATACCCCTTTAATCCCAGCACTCCGGAGGCAGAGGCAGGCAGATCTCTGAATTCAAGGTCAGCCTGGTCTTTAAAGTGAGTTCTGGGACAACCAGACACAGAGAAATCCAGTCTGGGGGGAAAAAAAGCAACAACAACAAAACACATACACACACAGAGAGAGAAAGAGAGAGACAGAGAGACAGAAACAGAGAAACAGAAAGACAGAGAGACAGACAGACAGAGACCGAGACAGAGAGAGACACAGAAATATCATCTGTAGAATTACTATGTCCATTTTGCAGATTAGGAATACCCCACAGTTAGTCAGGCCCCGGGTCAAGTCTGAGAGAGGTCGAAGGGTCCTGGGACTCACCGTGTAGATGGGTTCTGCTGGAGGCTTCGTGATTCCGACGGTAGATTTGGGACCAGGGCACGTGTGTTTGCCCAGAACTAATATCTGTTTCTGTGGGGAGAAGGAAGCCAAGGCTGTCAAGGCTGAGGAGAAATAACTCACCCTTCTCCCTCCCCTTACAGACCCCACCAGGCAGGAAGCATCGTCAATTGTCATGAGGCCACACAAAAGTTAATCACTCAACACTTGCCACCCACCCTCTCCAGGGAGAAGTGCCTGAAGCTAAAGAAAACGCAAAGACACACATGAGCCACCATCACAGGCGGAGTGCCTGACTCTGGGGAGACAGGGCCTGGATCTGGAGCCAAATGATGGGTGGGCCCCAAGTGGATGCCAGCCAGCCCCTCACTGACTGCGTGGCTGAAGGAAGATGTTTTCCTTCTAGCTTCAGTGTCTTCCACAGTAGCATCCCTTGGCAAGCCGATTGCAAAGACTCAAGGAGGGGACAAAAGGGAGGCATGCGATGGCATTCTCAAACCCTCAGTCAACTATCCCATATTTGCTGAACACCCTTTGTTAGCTGGATAGCATGACAAGGTGGATACATTCCCACCCTCCTGAACTTAAAGTTTGCAGGAGAGGTGGGCAGCTTTACCACAGCAGAGCTTCCCGAGCTCAGGGACTCAGGGAGGAGATAGCAGCGGGGAAATTTGAGGACTGGCGTGTGTTCAGCATGGACAGAGGAGAGGGCTCCAGGCAGAAGCACAGCAGGACTCAGAAATTTAAGGAGAGGTCAGCCTGAGGCTAAACACCCCCAATAGGCTGGATGACAGGCAGGGCAGTGTGGACAGCGCGAAGCACCCGCAAAGCACGGAGGGCTCTAGGTAGGATGCCTGAACCAACCCAGCTTTGGAAAACTCCCCAAGGCTGAAGCAAACGGCAAGTGGAATTGGAGATCCCTGGGTCACCCCGCTGGAAAAGCGCAGGGCTGGGGTGACAGTCAGAGGGTGGCGGTCTGGGCGCTCCCCCTCATCCCCCTCATCCCAGGCACCACACTGCCAACAGTGGAGCAACAATGGCCTCATCTCAGGGCAGGAGCTAATTAAAAACCCTGGCCACCCGCCAATCCCCAGCCCATTTACTCCCGGATTAGCACTCAAGAGCTACTTAACTCGCAGGCAGAAGCCGGCGCCACCCCCAGTCTCAGCCTTGTACATCTCTGAACATGGAGTCAGGCAGGGAGGCGTGCCTTGTTGCTTCTGCTCCCTGTCAAACCTGCAAACGAGCTCCCAGGTCACCTCTGCTCTGTACATGAACCCCGAGAGGGCAGGGGTTGGCTGAGACCACACAGCCCATAATTGACAGGGGTGGGATTTGAACCTATGTCTGCATTCACTAAGAAGCCAACCCAACCCAGTGCTACCTAGGGTGTTGTCTTCTGTTTTGTGATGATTTGTAGGTCTCATACAGACAGGGGCTGTCTGTGTGTGGTTTATGATTCAGGAAGAACCCTGTCTTTGTCACCTGTCACTTAAGGGATGTGGGAGTGGATATGGACTTCCCATTTAACAGAGAGGAAAACCGAGGCCTGTCAAGCTAGTAGGAGGCTCTCCATAGAGGAAACACTGGTGTGGTACCTCCTTGCACTGTCTGTTCCTGAAGAGTGTCACAGACTTCTAGGACTCTTAGGGCATATTGTACCCCTTCTAGTCAAGATGGCTAGGGTCCTGGCTTCTCCCCTTCTGAACCTGCTTGTCCAAATGCCACCAAAGCTGAAGGACAGGTCACAGGCAGTGGCTATTTGGAGGCTACCTGGATAAGCATTTTGAACCCAAACCTGGAAAACACAGGTCTTGGTATGAGGCACCTGTGGGCAGCGGTACCAGTCTTCCTCCATCCTGGGCCTCGGTGGCACTGAAGATCCTATGGCCTGCTGTGATTGTCCCTGAGAGCTCAGGGAGGTGAGCTACACTGTTGGCCTCAGGAAAAGGCTCAAAGCCACAGGCAGCTGCGGATTGTTAGGAGTGTGCAGAGGAGGGGGAAGATAGAGTAGAGGAGGGAGAGGAATGGGAGCACTGAGGGGTAGGGATATGGGCAAGGACAAGCCCACAGAATACTAAATGATACAGGAGTCTTTACTGGTAGGGGACTGAAGAACAGTGGGAGCCACTGGAGATGGTAATGGCCAGATTTGCCATTACCACCTCCATATGCAGGTGCAAGGTGGACTGAAGCGTGTGGCCAGAGTGGGGAGGTGAAAGGTTCTTGCCGCTCTGTCCAGCCAGCCAGCCAGCCAAGAAGCTCAGGCCAAGGTGGGACTCCTATAGGGGCAGAGGAGGAGCACCGTTGAAGACTTGTTTGGGTTATGTTTTGATGTGGGGGTTGGGGATACTCTCTGTCCCTTGGAGCCAGCTCTGTCGACCTTAGGACCCCGACCTAAGCTGCCAAAAGTAGCCCTTTTAGGTTGTGATTATCAGATGAGTAAGCCAGCTAGTGCAGTTTCTCCCATGGTGCCTAGCTGTTACCCATGCTTCCTCTCCCCAGTCGGATTCAGTGAAGGTCAACAGGTCTGGGCTGAGACCTAGCTCTCTGTACACTGCCAGCAGCTGGCCAAGACGCCTGTCAAACCTCAGTTTCCCCCTCTCTGAGATGGAAGCCATGATGTCACCTTGTCTTCCTCGTGCCTTAGCCAATCCCTATTCGCCTTTCAGGAATCAGCATGTAAATATCCCATAATTCCTTCCACCAGCACCTATTATGTGCCAGGCACTAGAGACAACAAGTCCCTGTCCTGGGGGTGGGGGGCTGCACTCAGGTGGGGAGACAACAGAAATGTAGAAGCCAGGGGTTGTATAGTAGAGTGGGGGGAGGCAAGCAAGGACCCTGAAGAGGGCATGGAGCCCAGGCCAGGATGGGGGAGAAGGGCCAGACCCTGGAGAGGCTGAGGGATTGGACATGGGAATGAGTGGACAAGCCAAGCACTGCTCTAGGCTTAATCCTGAGCCCTCAGGTGCTGGGAGGCAGGAGGCTTACAGTCCTGAAGAGTGGGTGTGCTGGGAGGCAGGAGGCTTACAGTCCTGAAGAGTGGGTTTTCTGGACACATGAGGTGGAGATGCTGTCAGCCCCATACGTCATTTGTCATGCTCACTATACAGGTCCAGAGCTCCGGAAGGGGCCTGGCAGCTCATCAATACATGAAACAGTCACCCAGGTGCACAGAAGGGCTCTCTAAGAAAGGTACCCAGGATCTGCCAGGACAACCACCGCCACCACCATGCAGGCAGAGTCATCATGCCTGCTCTCATGACAGAAGACAGACACAGTGATTGCCACCCTCTCAGGAGAGCAGCTGTCCTGGTGCTCAAAGTAATTGAGGTCTACTCTAGCATCCTCCCCACACCCACCCCTTCTGTCCACAGACAGGATACTGGGAACTGTCTCTGCTTGAAATCTCCATGGGAGAGATCTCAGTTGAGGGAGGGATGCAGGAATGCAGGGATGCAGGGATGCAGGGATGCAGGGAGGCAGGGAGGCAGGGAGGCAGGGAGGCAGGGAGGCAGGGAGGCAGGGAGGCAGGGAGGCAGGGAGGCAGGGAGGCAGGGAGGCAGAGAGGCAGGGAGGCAGGGAGGCAGGGAGGCAGGGAGGCAGGGAGGCAGGGAGGCAGGGAGGCAGGGAGGAATTGATTACCCTGTCCAATCTTACAGAGCTGGAAAGGAGAAGACTTAGAATACAAGCCTAACCCTGAGATTGTTCTCTCAAGCTCCTTCTCCAACCCCCACTCACCTCCAAGCAGGCTATCTTGAGATTTTAGTCTTTGTGTTCCCTCTGTGCTCTTCCTAACCTTCAATATAATGCCTGGTGCATAGTAGGTATTCAGCTAAGGTCCACTTAAGTTAATCCACATATTTACTAATAACCATGAAAGGACCCTGCAAATTATACTCCCTTCAGCAGATATTGACTGTGTACCTACTATGTGCAGAATCCTACAGCACAGGCAGTGACTGCCACAGGGAACAAGCATGAACTGAGAGGACGGACCACTGAGAGATGGTGAGGATGAAGGGCAGCCCAGTGGGGAGTAGGCTCTCCCAGAGAGGCACCTTGAATAGAAAACAGCCTGACAAAGAGCTGGGGCAAACTGTCCCCTCCATAAGCATTCCTGCCCTTACTATGTCATGTGCTTTCTATATGACCATGGGCAGATCACAGCCTCTCTGAGCCTCGCTCTATGGGGCTGTGGGATGGGAAGAAATGTCTTCATAGAGCTATGGAAGGGGACACAGGAGATATGTGTGGGTGAGCTGGGCACACAGCTTCTTTTAGTCTCTTTCACTGTACACTGCTGGGTATCTGGACAGGGCTCTGTCAGGGACAGCATGAGAGTCTGTGTCTTCTCCTACCTTTGAGGGGTTTGGGTTTTTGGTTTTTCTTTTTTTTTCTTTTTTTCTTTTTGGTTTTTTTTTGAGTAAGGGTTTCTCTGTGTAGCCCTGGCTGTCCTGAAAATCACTCTGTAGACCAGGCTGGCCTCAAACTCAGAGAGTTTGCCTGCCTCTGCCTCCCAGCACTGGATTGAAGGTGTACAGCATTACCACCCAGTTTCTCCCAGATTCTTAGAGGAATGAGCAACCTGGAAGAATCTAAAGAGCCCTATTTCTTTCAATGGGGTCAAAAAGGGCCTGTGGGCTGATGGAGAATCCTCCCAAGGGTCTAGGATGTGACAGGGGCAGCCTCTGGTCCCAGAAGCCTCCCCAGTTCCATAGTGGGGGGGAGGTAAGACTCAACACAATGTGCTATGTGTCCCCGTGTTCCTCACCTTCCTCCAGAGCAGCAGCGCTGTCCCCAGCGCACCCAGGACGCTCAGCAAGCTGGTGAAGCTAAGCAGCAGAGCCTCCTGGACCTTGAATGAAGGTGGCTGGTACTCTGTGTCTGGAAAGGAAGACAGCAGGGAGCAGAGGGTGAGTGTCTCAGGAGAAACAGATGCCCGCCTGGCTCACCAGCCCCTAGCCCCAAAGCCTCAAGTTCCCTCACATCGACCCATTTCTAATTCCCGACCTTGTCAAAGGCCCTCTGAGACCCTTCAGGGCGTTGGCTTCACTCCTGGATATTGACAGCCACAGTTCTCTAAGGACAAGGACTGGGTTACTTGCTCCTTTAGTGAGCTGGCACCATTAAGGGATGCCTAGGGGACCCCGTGTGAGTCACATCATCTTTGAGGGCTTCCTTCCCTCTATCTAAAATAATGGTTCTATGAGTGTGTGTTGTGCAGGTTGAGGGAGATAGGCTTACACTGGCTTAGAGAGTCACACCAGGGGTAGATAAGGGCCACACCTCCCCTCCTCCTGAGCCCTCCCTCTAGCCTTCTTCCCTGCCTCCGTATGGCTAGCAGAAATGCACAGAGAGTGACCCTCTTGTGGGCCCAGATTAGTCATTTAGAAAGTGCCTTCCATCACCAGGGCTGCAGCCCTCGTAGTCTCTCTTGTCCAGCATTGTTCAAGTCTTTAATGGGCAGAGTCCTGCTAATGAAAGTCAGACCCAAGTTCACATCCAGGCAAGCACTAAGACAGGGATTCAAACCCAGGTCTGAGGGATTCTGCAGTCTCCAGCCCCTTCCAGTGGGACTCACAGAGGAGGGTAGAAAAAGAACCAATGGCTTGCTCTTAACTTTGGGGGGGGGGTGTCTCACACCACTGAGAATCCTAACGAGGAATCATTTCCAGAATGATGCAAAGCAAATGCTCACTCAGGCAAGGACACCCAGAAGTCCATGTGTGCGCATGCCTAACCCCTGCCCTGCTAACAGATCTGGCACCAATGGTCTGAGTGACCTCTGGTAAGTCACTTGTCCAAGGTAGCTAGAGGAAGATCCTGGGCCCCTTCTCTTTTAACACAAAGGCGGATGCCTGGCACACCTGAAGGATGGGGTTTTCCTGGGGGCGCTTCTGTTCTGTTTGTAAAGCTGGAAGACAAGGCAGAGAAACTGCTGGTGACTTTGCATTTCCTTATGCCTGGAAGGATCTGAGAGGAGGCCTTACCTCTGACCAGAATGAAGACACCATCGCTTTGACATGTCTCCTGTCCTCTGACTATGCAGTAGTAACTGCCCGTGGCTGATGCATTTGGCAGGCTGAGTTTAACCACGCAGTCCATGGTCTGGTTCTCCATGCCAGGACTGTGTTGGCAGTCAATCGGCTTCTCCAAGCTTTTCTGGCCATGGATATCCACGTGAAAGAAGCTAACAGTGAAAATGAAGACCTCGGGTCTTAAGTCCTGGATTCTGCAGCTAAAGGACACATCCGTGTTTGCCAGGGAGACCCTGATAGGAGGGCCGGTATGGGTCACTGATATCCCTCCTGTGGGGGGACAACAGGGTACAGTGACTGCTCGCTGGAAGTTTCCTTACCCCATGTGTGCCTCCTGCATGTTTTACTGCACAGCGTGATTCTCAAAGAGACTCCATTTCCCCAATAATACATGGCAGCCAGGCAAGAACCATGATGGAGGAAGACCAAGAGTCAGGAAGGTCAACCACTGGCTCAGATCCTTCAGCAGAGACACACCCAAGGCTGAGGGGACCTCAGAGCCCATACTCCTAACCCCTCTCCTTCCTACATGACAAATGCAGTCCCATTTGTTAGACATATGGACCTAAAGAGCCAAGAGCTAGTAAAGAAGAAAATGGGGGGCAGAAAACCCAAGCATGTCCTAGCAAGGGACAGAGGGAGCAGGTCTTCCCACAGCTCTGCCAGCAGGGGAGACTGGCCAGTGGGCAGAGACAGGCCATTCTGGGAATCAAGGCTCTAAGAACTTTGTCAGGTCTCCATGTGGTATATAAAACAGGCCATTCCACAGGGAGCTGTCCTCCAACAGCACAGACCTGCTAATATGTGGCCACTTTGTGTTCAACACCCTTCACAAGACCAGTTCCACCAAAGCCATCCCCGATACCCCATATTCATCCAAAGACAGTCTAAACACTCCCCAAACACAGCAGGCTGGCCTGGCTGGGCCTCCTGCAGGCTTCTGGGATGCTGTTCAGATTTGGAGCAGGGTCAGCAGCCACTGCCCCCGACTTTGGCAGCACGGGGCTCTCAGCCTCAATATTCCATGCCTCCCGGGCCCTTCCTCTCCAGCAGCTAAACAGCAGACAGTTTTTAAATTGAGGTCGGCAGCAAGCAGCCAAGAACACGCAGGCCGGCTTGTTAATCGGGAGAAGATCGTGCGTTTTGAGACGCTTAGAGAGTCTCAAGATTTATTTTGCCGAGGAAACTGATCTGTGGGCCTCCTGCCTGTGGTGTGGGCTGGCGTGAAGCCAGGAGGGTCTTGTCTGGCTTCTTCAGCTTTCCTCTGGGGGAAGGGCCTTCAGGGGAGGCTGGGCCTCCTGCAAGACTCCAGGGCAGGAGTGGAGGGGATTTTCCAGTGAATCCTTACAGCTTTGAGCAGGCTGATATTTTGAATTTGGATTGAGCCTGTAAGAGACACTCCACCCCCTAAAGAACTGGGGGCACTGATAGGGCCCTGGTCACTGTGGGACAGCGGTCACTTTGGAAGTATGGACTGAGGTGGCGCCCAGGTCCCTTTCCTAGCAAGCAGTCCCTGTCCTGGGCTTCCCTCAGGTAGGCACTGTCCTCTTACTCTTTGCAGAGCAGCTGTGGTTTGTCTATAGTATATATACCACATAATGCCAGCACAGCAGGATTCTAGCTTTGTCATTAAGATGCCTTGATTTGCCGGGCAGTGGTGGCACACGCCTTTAATCCCAGCACTTGGGAGGCAGAGCCAGGCAGATTTCTGAGTTCGAGGCCTGGTCTACAGAGTGAGTTCCAGGACAGCCAGGACTACCCAGAGAAACCCTGTTTCAAAAGACCAAAAAAAAAAGAAGAAGCCTTGATTCAGGGTAGAGGTGCTACCTCTACCCTGAATATGCTTGGCTCAGGGAGGGGCAGTATTTGAAGATGTGGCCTTGTTGGAGTAGGTGTGGCCTTGTTGGAGGAAGTGTGTCACTGTAGGGGTGGGCAAGGAGACCCTCCTCCTAACCAAGTGGAAGTCAGTCTTCTCAGCCTTTGTCAGCCTTTGGATGAAGATGTAGAACTCTCAGCCCCTTCAGCCCCACATCTGCCTGGATGCTCCCACCTTGATGATAATGGACTGAACCTCTGAAACTGTAAGCCAGCTCCAGCTAAATATTCTCCCTTATGAGAGTTGCCTTAGTCCTGGTGTCTGTTTAACAGCAAGAAAACCCTAACATAGACAGCTGGGTAGAAGAGGTGGGGGCAGGTGAAAGATCTCCCAGGGTTCCAGATGGACTGGAAAGTTTATAAAGCCAGAGGATGGAACAAACTCCAAACGACTGAGAGCTGTGCTCACCCTGCCAGTGGCTCATCTGTCACATAGCCCCTTCCACCTTTCTCTAGGTGCTCTACCACCGTTTCCCTGTAACTACACAACCCTCTATGAGGCCTGTCTGTGAACCCCCCCACAGTGTCCCTTACCTGGGGAGTTCTCTATCCAGGGCCCCTGTACCTGTACCCCCTTCCTACGGCCTCTATTTCTTCTGATGGTCAATTCCTGAGATCCTAGACTTGGTTCCTCAGGGTCTCCCAGCATCTGATCCTCCCGATGGGCTCTCAATATGCCCCTGTTAGACTGCCAGGGTAAGTGGAGCCTGGCTGGTTTCCCCAGGGTTTCCAAAGTATAAGATGGAGGTTGTAATCCAACCAAGAGACCTGGAAAGTGGTCAAGTCTCCTCTCCTGGTACCTTTTGGTTCTCCAGAGTTGAGGCCTCTCTCAGACTAGGGGAGGTAGACACACTGCCAATATGACGAAGCTACCTTTCCATTTTTCCTGGCTGGAAGATATCCATCCAATTGTCTTTGAAGTCTCCCCAACTCAAGGCACCTTTTAGAAAGTGATAGAATCTGCTAGTGTAATTAACTCGGTCTTTACAATTCTGGAAACAACTACAAAAATAGATGTCTACTGTTCTACAGCCTTGTGGAATTTACTATTTTAAGGGTAAAGGGTTAGGATCATGAAAATTCAGGGCCTGTCTCTCGCCAGCCATAGTACACAGAGACTTCGGAATAAGAACCTCGGGTCCTGATGAAAGTGCTGTGTTGTGTTTAAAGATGGAGAGTGGATCCAGCTGCTTCCACATCATATAAGCAATGACAACGGAGACAGCCAAGAGCCGGGGGGAATCTCAGTGCTCTGCAGTCAGAGTATCTGGCCTGAGGATAGAGTCTTTCACTGAGCCTTTGCTGGGGTGTCAGCACCCCACAGCCTGGACCACCCAGCTACCTATGGGTACCCAGCCCCCTGCGTCTGCCAGTGAGAAGTGGCCACCATTTAAGGTCCAGAGCTGGAGATGAGCTTAGAGAAATTCTAAGTCCGTGGAACCTTCTCCTCTAGCATTTTCTGTGCCCCAGACATACACACAAACTCAGAAGAGGTACTAGGTAGCGTCAGCATCCTGTGTGGCGAGAAAGGTATCAACGGGAGCAAAGGAGCCTGGGGTGGGAGGGAAGGAGTACTAAGGGTAGGTCAGGGGATGCCCGGGAGTTGAAGACTTCTGTGACTTGGACGTGGATATCCAGAAATAGAAGGAAAAGAACATGGATGGAAAGTCTAACCAGGTATGACACAGGCATGAGGCACCAGCATGCCTCACTAACATGAAGCAATTATAGTAACGCCACACTACAGACAAACAAAACAAAGCAAACAAATGAAAGACAGAGAGCCAGACTGGCAAGATAGCTCAGTGTGGAGCTGGAAAGATGGCTCAGCAGTTAAGAGCACTGGCTGCTCTTCCAGAGGACTCAGGTTCAAGTCCCAGCTCCCACATGGCAGTTTACAACCTTCTGTAACTCTAGTTCCAGGGGATCCAGTGCCCTCTTCTGGTCTCTATAGGCATTTCAAGTGAATGGTGCACAGACACATTCAGGCAGACGCTTGTAAACGTAAGTAAACGTAAATTAAAGAATAAATAAAATCTCAAAAAGAAGAAAGCAGTAGTGCACTTGCACGCTTTTAATCCCAGCACTTGGGAGGCAGAGGCAGATGGATCTCTGAGTTCGAGGCCAACCTGGTCTACAGAGTGAGTTCCAGGACAGCCAGGGCTGCACAGAGAAACCCTGTTTCAAAAAAACAGAGGGGGGGAG